ATATATATATATGTATATATATCGTCAAATAGAACTGCCCGGTAAACCGTAGGCAAAGAGGTATATATATATATATGTATATATCTTGGCCTTGGCCATGTCACGCAAGAGTAAAAGACAAGAGAGACAACTCGAAGACAATGCGCAAGTAATCCCGCGAGCCGCCGAGACAGATGCGGTTATGTTGTTACGATGTCACCTTGCCGCTGTGGCCGAATGCACCAACTGTACATCCCATGGTCCCCTAGGACAAGATAGGTCCTCACGAGGTACAACTTACCTTTCCTAAGGGGTTATCGCCACCCTTAGAGGTGTATCCCAATCAAGTAACCGACCCACATACAAAGGTTTTTATATGCAATTGTAGAGATAGCTTAACCGAGGGTGTTTACCCATTTCTCTGTAGTATAGGCACGCTTGGTTGAAATGTCGATTGGACCCTGACGTCGTTCGTTCCCAAGGTACGAAGCAAATGTGTGTCAACTAGGACAGTCCAAACAAAGAGTGAAACCTACAAATAATCCTAGTCCCTTAAACATATAACTAAAAAAAAATCAATGATCGAATATAATTACATCTAGACGAGTCAGCCGTAATTGACATGAATGTATATTCAATTCAACATGAGTTAAAATGATAAATGAAGGAACGCTAGCATCATATGGTTAAACCGATAACAAGATCAATAATCGAACAAGGGTCGAATTCAATAATTAAAGTACGATAAAGTGATTTAACGAGAAGTTGGTCTAGTCAATAATCTCGATTCAACCAGTAGGGTAGTCGAACTGTCTCAGTTTTGATTTGACGAGTTTGGTTGCCAAAGTTATCTAAGTGCAACTTAGCGGTTGGTGAGATCGTGCATGCACACCGCTGTCCGATACATAATTCAAGCAGTCAAACAACCCTTGAAAGTTATGGACGATCCGGTAGAGTGGAGAAGGCGGTACACAATAACCGCACTTGTGTGTGTTATGGCTTTGATCAATCATATGGGTGTAATGCAACACCTCATGCGGTGCATCTTCCTTGTCATGTGGATGAGGACATGTTGGCGTTACCTCTCTCGGATCAATCAACAGAAAAATTTCCACAAAAAATGAAAGTTGAAAAAACATTCCATAAAACAAAATTATTCATATTTATAAATTTATCATTCCAATGTTCGTCCTATTCTAGAATTTTCAGTTTTATTTGATAAGTTTTCGTCTAAATATAAATTTTCTCTTCCAATTACATTTATTTGTTCAAGATGGAATGAAAGTCTGGACGAGTTTATGAAATGTTTTAATTAAATTTTCATTCTACTACAAAAAATATCTTATAATTTAGATTGGATTAACCTATTTATGACTGAAAATCCTTACTTAGAATAACAACCCAATGAAAATATTTCATGAACTCATCCAGACTTCCGTTCCATCTCTAACATGCAGTCCAAATAAGAAGGAATACCCTATTCTTGGAATGAAATTTAGCAAGTAAGATGAAAATTTTTAAAATTGGAATGACATTTTTTAAGATGGAATAATTTAAAATTTAGATTGTAATTTTACTTTAGAATGATTATTTAATTCTAGAAAAAATTTCCGTTGATCATATACTAGGTGTAACGGAGCATCTCATACAGTGCATGTTTTTTGTGATGCAGATGAAAGTTAAAGAGATGAAGGTTTCTTTTTTCGAAAAGGTACTGATGCCTCAACTGCGATGTCGAAGAAGGTAGATCTTGCTTTTCCAATAGCTAGAGATGGTATGCTTATGATGTTGCTTTCCAACGATCATCAATAAGATTCTGTTGAAAACGGAAAATACCAGGTGATCGAGCAATTAAAATGGGCAGAGGGGTGAGGAAAGGATACTAACGAACATGAGTATTCACACGTCAGGCAAGTGTATGCAGTGTGTAAGTGTGTGAAAGGGAGAGAGAGGGGAAATCCACAAATTTTGACAATATTGGATGGTTTGTTTGTTTGTTGTATAAAAAATCCGCCATGTTCAAAGGACAAAAATATGGCGATGTATCTTTTTATTTTACAGGAAAAAAATAATTCTCATTTTGTACATTTGGTGAGTTATTGTAGTGGAAAGAGGTTTATCGACTCGAAGACCGCTACCCGCCAACTTGAGGGTCGACCATCTGTACCTAGACCCAAAATAAATAAAAATTATATAAAATCCAATAAAAAATGATTTCTTAAACTATAAAGCTCTCACTCCATGCATTGGACCTTATCACTTAGTTTCAATAGCAGGTAGGACGTATACCAAACAACATACCTTCACACACTTCCCCACGTATAGTACAATATAAAATACGGGTTAATTTTAAGATGCTTTGATTCGATAGACTCCAATCCGTCAGAACAAGCTCAACTCTGTCAACCTCAGCAAACTCGTACTATATTCTTGGATAATCTTATTTTATTTATGAAGATGGTGATGCAGAAACCTTAACAGTGCAGTGACAACCTTTCATTACCTGCACGACCTTTTCCCCGACTATCTCCCTACTACCCGTCCCCCCTGCCCCCACGAATGACCGATTGATGTTCGATCACCGACCATACCTCATCAATTCACGCAATAACTCTCTCTAAACCCTCCTTGTCTAAAAATGATATTTTCGAAACAATAAATCCCGCTAAATGACAAAGTGCAACCATCGTAAACGCAACCTCCTACCTACGAACCTATCGAGTATTTAAAGGTCCTTCAACAACTCTTGACCTCGCCCCACCAATTTATAAAACTCATTTTTGACAATAGTTTATTGCTACACAAACTGTCAAGGGGGATTTTGTTGAAAGCATTTCAACAAGTGTTAGGAAGGAGGTTTGGACACCAACCGTTTTCGAGTCAAAAATGCTCGTCTGTGACAGACCAAAACTTGACACCTCAATACCAAGGTGGCGAAAGTGGCGCCCTTTTCAACGACTATC